TCCTGTTTTCCATTTCTTTGGCTCTCTAATGCCATAATTAGCACAATGGCTTGAATAGGAGCTGGGCTCCAGAAAATATTTATTTATTGATCACCACATTGTTAGAAAAATTCTCCAGTTGTTTCAGGAGGTCTCAGATTTTTCTTTCCTCCCTGCCCCAAGCTGCCTGGTGGCATTTCTCCTAAGTACCCAGCTCAGTTGGCTCAGAAAAGCCAGAGGGGCTTTTGCAAAACACCTGGCCCCCTTTTCCCTGGGGAAGAGGGGAGGTGATTTCTGCCCCCCAGGAGTTTAATATTTTGAAATCATAGGACAAGAGAAGATTAAAGATGGAATACATTTACGGGTTATCTGTTCCAACTCCCTTATTTCATAGGTATAAACAGTCAAATCCAATCAAAGTCATATTGCTAGTGGGTGTAACCAGAATTTAGTTATTTTTAATTAACACTTAAAAAATTATAAAAGTAATATACACATGGTAAAAAAAATTAAATGGTAGAAGAAATTAAATAATGAAAGTTACTTTCTATCCTATCTTGGACCCTTGTCTAATTTCCCAGAAGAAAAATCTTAACAATTTCCTGAATATCTTTCCAAAAATGTGTTATGTATAAACAAATATACATATAGCCATCTTTTAAAATAGTCTGCTGTACTTTGCAATTTTTTCTCATAAATCTATCTTGCAGATGTTTCCATATTAGCATATATAGATCTGCCGCATTCTCTTTTATTGCTACATGGCATTCTGCTGTAAGGATGTACTTTCATTTTAGCCAATTCCCCATTTGTAGATATTTAGCTTGACTCCAACTTTTTTTTCCTTTAGCATCAGCACTGTAATCAACACCCTTGTTTATACATCTTTATGCATGACAGACGATCACATAGTATATACATTTTTTAGAGTTTCAATTGTGAAGATGCAGAGTCTATGCAGGTTTTGTTGTTTTCTTTAATTATCTTTGTTGTTTGTTTTCATAGATACTGTTGCGTTCCCTTTCAGGGTTCCAATCCAAATACCAGCTCCATTATCATGGGCAAGTTATCCTACGTCTTGGAGCGTCAGTTTCCTCATCTGGAAAATGAGGCTAATGGTCTCTAAAGGGGATAGTTATAAGGACCAATGAGGAAGTCTCAGCCTGGTAAATCAACTCCTACTCAGTGGTGTGATCTCAGTTCAAACATCACTTCCTGGAAAGCCTTCCTAGCTTACCAAGGCTCAAATAGGTCCACCCATTATTAACCCTCATGACACTCTGTTCACAGGATTTAGGACATATTTGAAGGAGAGCTAACTTATTTTCTGTCTCCTCTACTGAATGTAAGCACCAGGCAGGCAAGAACCTCATCTTTTATTCACTCTTGTATATTTAGTGTCCAGCGTTGTGTCTCAGGAAATGTTTGTTGAATGAGTTCATTAGTAAGTCCCACACTCTGCGGGCATTGTTAAAGCCTTCTGAGAAAGTCTAGGTTTGTATTATTAGTCCCCCATTTTAGAGATCAGGAAACTGAGGCCCAGAGAGGTTAAATAACTTGTCCAGGGTCACACAGCTAAAGAATGGTGAAGCTGGCATCTGAATCCAAGTTAATCTCACTCCAGAGCTTGTATTCTTTATTTACTCTGCTCTTCTGCTAAAATCACTTTTCTTCTCCTTTCTCAGTTTCCTTTAGCCTTTGTGTTGGTTAAGGTTTTCCCTGGTTCGTCTTTACAGCAGAAAGATTAAGGATTTTCGATCCTACAAGATTTTTTCTCAATGGCTTTGAATCATTATTTACTCCAAATTCCAACTGAAAAGAAAAAAAGTGCCCAGCACAGGGTGTTGCTGAAATACAATCAGTGTGCCCTCCTCTGAGCGACAATGGCATGGCCGCCATGACCACTTGGGGAGGCTGTTAATTCTGGGAGTGAAAGGGTCCACTTATGGACCCAGATTAGGGATGGACATCAGGCCAGAGGTTGTCTGGGGCCCTCAAGCTGAAGCAGGGAGGGCGGGAGAAGCCATCCCCAAGTCTGTGACTATCTTTCTGCTCGCTGGGGCCATCCACTGTGAGCCTCCCTGCAGGTGGCGCTATGGGCCTCCTCAAGGCTTCCAGGAGTGCTCCTTTCCTTTTGCACGGTTTTGTTTTGTTTTGTTTTGTTTACCATTACTGGTTACGTTTCTTATTATAAGACCAAGCCCACCCTCATTCATCTACTAGTGGCTGGGACTATCCTGGAAGCTTTTCATTTCACAGGGTCTCCAGTACAGTTTCAGAAATGATTCCAAGGTGGTCTGGTGCCCAGAACCTGATCCAGAAATGCCTCTAGTCCAAGGCTGGAATGATCACACACAGAGCCAATTAGAGCCTCCCAAGTAGAGACAATGATCTTAGCAGCAATCATACAGCTGCCTGAGGCAGAAACAATTTTCCTGGAGCCAAAGAACACATCCGAGGTAGAACCATTGCATCCTGGGCCAATCAGAGTTTCCAACATGGAGAGTCTAATCCTACAGCCAATCATCATAGAGCTCTCTATCCCAGGGCCAGCAAGAGCTAACAAGGGCAGACAGTGTTTCTGGAGCAAAATAGAGCTGTCTCCTAGATTTGAAAGGCACAGTACAGAAGAGTGGAGGAAGCTTGGGCTTCGCGAATAAGCCTGAATCCCAGCAGACCCAATGAGTAGTTAGATGTCTTTTAACAGGGAAGTCAACCACTTTTCTGAAGCTCAGTTTATTCACCAGTAAAATGGGTATATCCCAACCTGACAGGGTTATGAGGAGAATCAAAATGTCCTCAGTAGATGCCTAAGAAAGGTTAATCGACTTCTTCAAAAGCTTGGCTGCTAGAAGATGGATTTATAGCCTACTATCAAGACTCCAGGATCCTTGAGGGTAGGGCTGTGTTCTGCTGTGCTTCTGAATCTCTCAAAGCATGTTGCAATGGCCTGGCCCATGAAAATTGCTCTTAAACAAGAAATCCTTGCCGAATTGAATTGCAAACCCTCTCTTGGTCTTCCCTGACCATGCAAATGGATGTGAATGCCAGGGCGCGGCACCCTGAGTAGGGCCTGGACATGCAAATGATTTTAGCCCCAAGCAGAAAACATCATTTTTGTAATTTCCAGGTCTTGTCCCCTACAGAGTGGCACCACAGAGCTCCTTGCTTTTTTGCCCTGTGAATGACTCATAAAGCCACAGTTCCGGAAAAGACATTAGGGATAATGCCATGGCACCTGCCCCTCCCCTGGACAGCGGCTGTCAGGGCCAGCTGTGCTCACTGATGGATGCTGTTCCGCTGATATTAAACGCATAATTAACGAAACCGTAAGAAGGAAACAAGGTGTGTTCCAGGCAGGGTACAGAGAACAAATCCATTCTCGCTTGGGGTGAGGAGAACACGGGGCGAGGAGAACACAGATAAGGTTGAAAAATGATCCTGTTCTTGAGTGCCTTTCAATAAATATCTATGGAAGTCTCATTAGAAAAAGGGACATTTCATTTTGTGATGTTGGCTACTTTCCCGGTTTTACAAAATCTTGTGGGTATCACAGCCCTAGGCAATGTTGTGATGGCCAGAAAGATGCCTCCCTACTTCCTGTTTACCAAGGACTGACTTATGAGTTCCCAGACATGACACATTTAGGACCATTATCATCATCAAAATGGTAACAATGAGTATGATTACAATGAACTAAAATTTATTAAATAGCTATTATGTTCCTGGCACTGCTCCAAGAACTTTATGTGAATTAATTCACTTAATCCTTTCAACAATCCCATGAGATTGCTACTAATAGTGTCCTAATTTGATGTGGAGAAAACTGAGGTACAGAGAGGTCAAGTAATTTGCCTAAAGTCACACAGCTTGTGAGCTTGAACATTCAATGAGTAAAACGCCTACCTCTCTGGCATCTCTCAGATACAGATTTGCTTTCGGGAAAACAGGAGAAAACCTAGAAGAATGGCCTGTAGGACTGACGCTAAGCTTCTCTTGGAGAGTACCTCGTAGGACCACGGGGGAGAGCCAGTCAGGAAACCAGGTCCCAGAATGTAACTGCCGATGCCCACAGAGAAGATGAACAAACCACTCAGCAGTTTTATGGCCCAAACACTGCCCTGCCACTGGCCCCTAGGTGTGTCATTCCCAGCTGCCCCTCCAAAGAGCAATGGCTTTATTAGCTCCCCTGAGCGTACTTGGAACCACAGCCCGCGGGCATCCGGGCCACGTTAGAAGGGGATCAAACACTTCTACCAATTCAAACAGCCAAAGTGACATGTTTGGTTTCTGTGTCAAATATTTATAACCCAGATCCCACCGGGCAGTGAAGCCAATGCGGAGTGAAGCGCCACCTCAGGCATGTGGAAGGGGCATCCGTGGGCTTTGTGCCAGCTCCCACGGTGCTTTAGTTCCAGCTCTGCACTGCCACGCCGTGTGACTTCAGGCCATCCACTCATCGCCTTGGAGTCTTAGCTCCTGCATCCTTCCAGCAGGAAGGTACTAGTACCAGCAACTGTAAGGCCTGAGAAAGATAATGCCCGCAGAATGCTTCTCATGGGATGCACACGCATCGGCCATCAAAAAATGGCAGCTACTCTTTTCTCATCGTTATCGTTATAGTTCAATTGCCTGATTTGAATGCAAGGTAGTGGCCGAGAATCTTATTCAAAGATAATGTGTATTAAATACTTATTGGCGGGCGCTCTCCAGCAGAGTGGATCTCACAGGGCTTCTTAGCCCAGGCATCACCTTCCCAAGGAGACCTACTGTGTGCCCCGCACAGAGCAGAGTCTCTGTGAGACAGTCTTGGCACTCATGCAGCTTACGTTCTACTGGAGGAAAGAGAGAAAATGTGCGGTGGGCCAATAAGAAAAGATTTCATGCTTTACGGAGACTACAACAGGCTAAGTGGTGCTATGTAATGGCCCTGAGGCTGGTGGGGGACCCTCAGACAGGAGTCAGGCAGGGGAAGCCTCTCCGAGGAAGAAGTATTTGCAAAGAAACTGGTGGGACCTTACAGGAGAATTCCTCCAGCCAGCACCTTGGCACATTCCAGCTCGGGAAAACCCTATGAAGCACAAAGGGGAAGAACTGTGGCCATTTTACAGATGAGTCAACTGAGGCGGTTCAGCTTGGTCAGAGGCCCAGGCCCAGGCCCAGGCAGGGACTGAAGCCCAGGCAGAAAACACCATCGCCCCAGTTCATTCGCTACTCCCTCAGCTTGCACTGAAAGAAATCCTGGGGATCAGGGACTTTCCCAGAGGGGGAGAGGGGAGCTTGGGGGCCTTCTCTCACAATTCCAGCCAAAGGTAGCAACCTGGACTTTTTCGCAGGGCTTTGGAGAGTTGGTTCTTCTTGCCTGGATCTTGAGCAGAAGCGTCATTCTATTTGCCCCAGAGAAATGCTTTGAGGACGCATGTCTCACCGAGGCCCCATGTCTTGTCTGAGCACTAGGTGACTTCTGGAGGTATCAGGAAGTCACAGAGATGTACCTGAGAGCTTTGTTTTGCAGTGTCTATGAGTGGCTGCTTTTCTAAGGCTCCAGTGAATAAAAAAGTAAGAAAGTGTGATCTATTTTGAGAAGGAGGCACCCATGAGTGAACACGAGTCTGCTGTCTAGCACAAAATCTATTATGCAGTCATATTTGCATATGCTGCTCTGTTAACGACTAGTCGAGGGCCGGTTCCAATCCCTGAGTACTTCCCTCCCTGCCCACACCTCCCAGAGATGCGAGCATACGTGTGTGCACGCGCACTTGGAGGCCCGTCTGATGGAGAATCAGCCCAAGATGCCAGAGCGGCCCTGCCTGGGCACCTGAGCCACCCAGTGTGCCTCATACTCACCTGGAACTCAAAGTTCGTGTGTTCCAGGAACTTCTGGTTCATGATTTCTGCAAACTTGTTGATAGCTCTCAGGAAGACCCTGGAAGAGGAGAGAAGGTACCGAACCCTGTGAGAATGTTGCCTCAGGCATCCCCGCCCTCCCACCTGCCCCAGGCTAGCGGTCCCTCAGGGAGGGTCCCAAACACTCAAGGGAGAGGTCAGCGGACCACACCTTAACTCCCACTTGCATTGCAGACATGGGGCCATGTTTGCCTTTCAAGACTCAAAGACCATCTGTTTGACTTTAGAAAATTTGAATGATTTTGCTTAAACGATTACATGCTTAGGGCAGAAAATTCAGGCCATCCATAAAGATAGAGAAACTGCCCCTTCCCTAAACAAATACACACACAAAAAAACCACACCAACTCCTACCATCTAGAGACCACTCACCATCACTGCCATTTTGAAGAATTTCAATGATCTCCCTAGACAATACGCACAAACAGTATTTCACAGATACCATTTTGATAAATGGGGTTAAGCGATAAATGCTGGTTCACAGCCTGTTTTTTGTACTCAATGATACAGTCTGTGCTCCTTTCGTGCCAATGAACTCAGATATATCATCCCTTTCACACTGGAAAGCATTCCATTGTACGGGTGGGTGCATCACAGTTTATTTAATGAGACTTTTATTGATGGCCCGTTCTGCTGTTGCGCAGCTGTTTTATTATGAGCAGGGTTTAGCGATCACTCTTCTCTGTCCACCACGCACCTCCTATCTACATCTCTTCTCCCTCAAGTGGGAATACTGATCCAATGTTGTGCACATTTAACATTTTGGTGCCTGTTGTCAAATTGTGTTTCTTCTGTCTTCCCGTCCGTCTTTTCCTCTCCTTCCTCCTGCCAAGCCCTACTGGCTCAGTTTGCAGCCTCCTGTCTGTCGCCCCTTCAACCTCAAGAGCCCCTGGCCCTACAGGACAGATCCAGTCACGGCAATCACCCACTTCACCGGCTCCCCACTGTTCACAGGATGAGTCCACACTCTCCCCCTTGACACTCCGTGCCCTCCATGAGTGGACTCCAATCTTCTCCTCTAGGTGCAGTTCTCACTATTATCCTGTCTGCTGGTTGCTTTCTGAGTACGTAGCCGTGTCCTTCCTTTGTACAGGGTTCCACTCTCCTTCCAATCTCTTTTAGGGCAGGGTCTGCTGAATCTCTGTGTCCCCCAAAGGATATTCATTGCAGCTTTCTTTCCCAGCATTCATCATGGTCTAGGATGATTTATTTGTCTGACTCAGTAATGTGTCTCCTCCACTAGACTGTACTTTCCTTGAAATCACAGGCTCCCACCATGACCTCATCTATTCTCCAATCTACATGCTTTTGACCCCCAAGTTTATATGTCTCCATCCCTGGCCTCTCCCTGAGCTCTAGCTTACATTCCAGCCCTCTGCTCCATATCCTCACTTGGATGGCTAATAGGCATCTCAAACAAGACACGTCAAAACTCAACACCCATTACCTGCCCTTCCTGGAGTCTCCCCACCCAATTAAGGACAGCCCCATCTCTCCCACTGTTGAAGGGAGTGGGGGGAAAACTTGGTAGCATCCTTGACTTTCCTTTCTCTCACATCCTACCCCTGGCTGGGCAGCAAAACCTCTTAACATTACTTTCAAAACATATCCAGAATTTGCTACTTCCCATCCACCATCATTTGTCTCCTGGGTGTTTGCAGTCACTTCCCAACTGTGACCAAATCTCCACTGTGTGTGAGCATGTGTGAATTTGTAAAACCTTAGAGGGCAGTGGCCAGCTCTTACCTGTACTTTTGCCTCTAATTTTTGATTAACAATGGGCAATCAAGAATTTCTCTATTGAGTGGCTGGTCCAGAAAAAATGCCTATTTGGCCTACCTGAGATTCAACAGGAAGCCAGTAAAGGAAGTGTTTATTTAAAGGTTATTGCTTTGGGTAATAATTGGGACTCAGTTCTGCTGAGGAACCTCTGAGAGACTGTATAGAACACACCTGCATCACATGTGTCCCCTCCTAGGGAGTGAGAAAACTGGGCTACTTATGCATTAATACCAGCCCCTCACTGGCTGGAAGTTGCTCTTACACGGACATTAAGTCCCTAGCACTTCTGGCCTGCCCTGCAGGAGGCTGAGTGCTCTCCTGCAGCCCGAGAAAGCCCAGAGAATGAAAGAAGTAGGAAGCTTTCAGGATGCATGGGAAATGTCCACGAAAGCTGCAAGTACATTGAGTAGGTAAGGTACCTATAGCATCTGCTATATCAGACATTGCTTGTAAGAAACTCCAGACTCCTTGTTCATTAAACACTTAAAGGTTGAACTATGAAGGCAATGCATCCTAGTACTATTGGAATCACAAGGTTTGTACGTACACACACACACACACACACACACACACACACACACACACTTGGATGTGATTTCTGGCTTTGCCACTTCCCCTCTGTGTAGGTTTGGGATGTGTTCCTATCACCTTTGACGTCTTGTTTCCTTGCTTGTGAAATAGCCGCAATGTTACCCCTTTCCTAGGGTCACTGCAGCGTTTAATGGTGAATGCATGGTAAGTGCTGAGCACAGTGCTTGATACGTGATGACAACAGTAACATGGCAGCCACTTCAGGCCCCCCTGGGCTGCTTCATTTTTCTTCCAAAGGCAGGGGCTGCCAGCGAAATGAACAGTCAGAGGACAAGGGGCAGCCAGCAGCCTGTCTGCGGCAGGCAGGACCATGTGCAGACAGGAAATAAAAGTCCCACAAAAATCTGCCACCCTGTCAGGCTGCCAGAAGGCGAGATTTCTTTGGTTTTGCTCTTCTGTCATGTGCTAATATGCGTTTGAAGAAACATCTGTATCTTTTTCCTTAAAGATTTGTATCTGATTCCCAGACGGAAATGCATTGAGTGGCTGTCATAGTATGTGTAAACATTTTGGTTTTGGACACTCTAATATGATACCAGCACGAGGCATTTTGCAATTCTCAGTAGCAACAAACCAATCAGTAGTTTCAGTAACAATCATTATTTTGATTGTTGGCCCAAACCTGTCTCCAGCTCTCAAAGGCCAGTGCCACAACCAGAAATTGATCAGCCCCCTGGGCTGATGGTGGAAACTGGTGGCAGATGGAGGCTGGGGGCAGCAAATCAAGTTTCCTCTCTCTCTCTCTCTCTCTGGGTCTTTCTGCAGCCACCTCTGGGAATCAACATATCATTTAAGTTTGGTTTCCCATGTTTGAGTTTGGAAAAGTAGGTCTTTTGTCTTCTACTTTTTCTTCGTTTTTAAGAAAATAATCATCCTTGAAGCCTAGCACTAATATGATGAATGAAGACACATTCAACTCTTGCTGTTACTTTCAACAACGAACTTGAACCACTGACAAAGTTCATCATTATATCTCAACCTAACTCTCCCTGCTTCCCATCTGTGAAGTGTAGCAGGCTCTATAAGGTTGATAATAATCCCAGCCACAGAACCGGGAATGTGCCAGGCTCCGTGCTCAGTACTTTGCATGGGTTCCTTCTTTTTCTCTTTTTTAATTCTCACACTAATTCCTGAGTTAGATATTGTTTCCATTTTAGAGACGTGAGTAAGCTTCCCAAAAACCCAGCCTGTACATGTGGAACCCGGATTTAAACAGAGATATGCTATGTTAAGAACATCGGTATTCAAGCACCACGCTGCTTTGGCCAAAAGAAAATCTCCGTAATTCTGTTCAACGCAAGTTGGGAGCCCACTGTAGTAACAATAGCAATGACGGAAGTATCATGGTTATCTTTCATGTGCCCTGTGCTAAGTGCTCTGCAGATAGTATTCAATTCCACAAACGGAGGTGGGTGCTATGGCTACATCCACTTAACAGAAGAAGAGACTGGGCATTGGAAAGATCAAACACGTTCCCCACATCCACACCTAAAAGTCAGCAGGGTCCAGGCCCAATCTCAGGTCTGTCTTCCTCTGAAGCCTTTGCAATTAACCAGAAAGATACACGGGCTCCCTGGAGGCCAGCCTGCATGGTCTTTGGCACTGGGCATGCTCGAACGTGCGCCCACCATGCACAGAGCCCCTCCACACTGATCCTATCATCCTGCTGCCCTGCCCACAGCGACTGAGTGGGTGCAGGGCCAACACTCGACGCAGGCAGTCTGCCACGGGGGGCCAGCAGTCTATGGGTGACCTTCTGGGTACCCAATGGGGGCACCCAGCCCCGGAGAGGAGTAGATCAAATCCCTTTAGGCAGCCCAAAAGCAAGAAAACCAGGGAGGGTGCAGTGAACCTGGACCCTGAGTGGAAGCCATGAGCAGACGATTCTGTGGGGAAGCAGAAGTCATATGCAAGAGAGTCCGCTGAGTGGGAAGAAGCTAGCAGAAAGAGAGCAAACCTTGAGGCTGGAATCCTAAAAACCGCTCCCCAAGCAGCCTCACTGCAGCCCCTGGTCTGGCTGCCCGTGGTGGGGCAGAGCAAACCCTCGGTACTGGAGGCAACCAGGAATCTCTCTGTTTTGTCTCCCGAGCAAGCCTCAATGCACCACAGCCCAAGTCCTGGGGCCGGATGCAGAAATGGAGGGGCNTAATTTGATGGGTTGGTAGTAACTGCCTCAGGAGCTACGTGGGGAATGATTCTAAGGGCAAGTCCTGGCCCAGCAGGAAAGAGAGTAGTGATCGATTAGTGATGTCTGCTGCAGGCAAGGCAGGGGGAGGGTTAGTCCATAGGCTGAGAAATTGCTATCCCACCTTTGTAAATGGAACAGGGTGAGGAAAGAGGCAGAGGTGGAAATGAGCAAAGTGTTTTGATACAGAAGAAGTTTACAGAGGGAGATCAGGAGAGATATTGGGAGGGGGCAGACCGGAAGGGCCTTGCATGCCAGGCTGAGGGCTTTGAACCTCAAAGGTTCAAAGGTGATAGGCTACCACAAAGGCACCTGCCTGGTGGGTTGCCTTCAGGCCAGCTCTGCTGACAAGGTCTTGGGAACTAAAGGAAGTGACCCAAAGTCCTTGCTCTTTATTTCTATAAACAGAGGACTATTCATCTCTTAACAGTGAGAACTGGCAGAATCATCATGCTCTGGCT